AATTTTCTGTGCCCAGTCAAAATACGGAAAATCGGCCGCCATCTTGCCCCACGACCGAGTTTAAAGAGGAATGGCTCTAGCGGGTAATGTGACGTCAAATCGAGAACACGAAAGTCTGCATTTCACACATTTTCACTTGTTTGGGAAGGTTGTAGTCGATATTGTCCGAAAATATGCCGACTAAGTGTGTTGTAGAAGGATGTAGCAACGTGCGAAATTTGCAAGAGGGTATCGCGCTTCATACATTCCTCATACAACACACCTAGTCGGCATATTTCGGACAATATCGACGACAACCTTCCCAAACAAGTGAAAATGTGTGAAATGCAGACTTTCGTGTTCTCGATTTGACGTCACATTACCCGCTAGAGCCATTCCTCTTTAAACTCGGTCGTGGGGCAAGATGGCGGCCGATTTTCCGTATTTTGACTGGGCACAGAAAATTAAAGATTTGAGCAAATCAAAAAATTTTTGCACAGAAACACTCCAAAAAAATAAGCTTATTTCGTTAAGAGAAAAAAAATGTTGGGTTTAGGTGCACTTTAAGCAAAATGAGTTTCTTAAAGAAAACAGCTTGTGAATATTCTGCTGCTGTGACAGCTGCATGATTATGTAGAGATAAGTAAGACGAAGCACTTCTGTTACCTCAAAATTGAAAGCAAAATATTCCTTTCATTCCATATACATGAATTACTTTTAATTATACATTCTTGAGGGTCTCAATGGGGTTGATCATTAACCTTAAAAGAGCCAAAACATTATTTGTTGCGTGTAAATATTGAAAGATTTTAAGCGTCAAAAAAGCTAACCGTCCAGCCCGGCCTAACTTAGTCAATACAAATTTTATCAAATGACCACGTATTAAGTTTTGAAAAATTCGAAATTTTTTTTTATTTAAGAGTGGGATTGATTATTTACATTAACTAGTTCTTTCGTCTTTCGTAGGCTGTGAAGTTTTGTTACCATGGCTGACTTTTCGACCACTTGCCAGACCTGTGTGGAATCTGCAAGAGAGTTTCTACAGCTCGTTGGGGCATGCACTCCAGAAGTCAATCAGCGACTGACAAACCTTAAAGAAGTCAGTATAATTTTATCCGGCTTGATCCAAGAGCCAGTGGCTCGCGTCGATCAGCAGTGGCCAAACCTTGCGAGAAACCTTTCCAAATTACTTATGTTTGGTGGGGGGCTGGAATTGATAGTGAGACTGGCTTGTCACTCAAGTATTTTCAATCAGGTAGAAGCCCAACAGAAAGCAGATGAAAACAGTAAACTTCCACTACACCTGCAAAAAAAGGTCGAAGAGATAGCGGAATACTTGGAAAAAGGCCAAAAAATTTTAAATACCATCGACAAGATAATGCAATCCCTAATGGAAAAGGTGAGAATCCATTTACTGTTTGAGTCACATTCAATAATTATATTTGCCATCTCTGAATATTTTATATCATCGGGCTTCATTCTTATCTTTCCATTCCCCATTCCTCACAGAACGTGAACATTTGCTGTATGAATCATTTCCATTCTTGGTTAATTTCACGCATTCTTGGATCAATCGGGTATTACACCTCAACAAACATCTTGAAATCGCCACATTCGAGTACGCTTGAACATTGTAAGCGCCATCAGCGAATAATTAGCTTAACCCTCGTATTTTTATCTATACTGGTGCTGGCTTAGATTTTGGTAAACACAATTGTAAACTATGATATTATCCTTAGGTCGTTTGAACCTCGTTTTCAGTATGGGATCGCTTGTGAATATGGACTTGTTCTTAACTATTCTGTAGGTGCGTGAGGCAAAAGACACTAATTTCAAGGGAATTCGTGATGTAGACTGTAATGCTTTGAAAATGGATGATGAAGATTTGGAGTGCGAACTGAAGGCGAGTAAGAAATATTTGGACAGTGCTCAAGCGGCTCTTGACCAATTCAAGTCAGATATAGAAGCAGAAAAGAGGAGCCATAAAATCAAAGTTTCTGCTTTTACAACTGGATGTCTTGCCGTCTTAACGATTGGTGGAGGTTAGTACATTCATAATTTTTTTGTGACATGTTTACTAACTTGAAATCTTATGTTTTTCTTGACTTGGAGCCATTCATTTTCTCCAAGGTCTAAAATTAGTTTTTGAGATGACATTGGGTAACCCACATTTTCCAGAAAAACAGTAATCCTCTAGGATTTATTGCTTATATTCGGTCTTTCTGTGCTGAGTTCGGGCGAATGAAAGTTCAGAGTAAACCAAAGCCTCGTCAGTCCGAAAGGTTTCCAATTATAAGGCTCTATGTTACATAATAGAGCATGGGCATAAAAAGATTATCTTAAATCAGGAATTCATGACGACATTGAATTTGCTGTGAAACTCACCCGTACTTATATATCTATTCATTTTTCTCGTGTTTCCCGTTTTTCTAGAGGTTTTGTTAGTTGTATTTCTGTTGTAGCTTGGAGTTTGCTTTACCGCGCTGCATCAACATCACTGAATTAAGCGAACGTTTTGATTAGCTCTTACTCATTATCTATTAGAGGACATACATACATACATTCGTTACATACATACGTTAGTTGACCACTCCCCATGGGGGCTTTTCAGGGCCAATTCCCACCCATCCCACCCCAGGGGAGGACATCCACAGCACTGGAATCTCGTGCGTGGGAAAGTAACGTCTCCTACCCCTAACCCTGCAGGAGACGGGGCCTACGGTTTACTCGTTCTTATCCGAGAAGACTAGAATATCTATCCATTTCTTGATTATAGAAAGGTGGCAAATTCTCCTCACTTATTTTAAGACCATGAGTATCGGTCCGGCCGGGACTCGAATCCTCGACCTCCCGCACAACTCAATCCGGCGCTCTAACCAATTGAGCTAACCGGGAGGACACACATCAGACGGACAAATGACGTCATCATCGACTGGTTTTTGCTTTTAAAACCACACAGCAGACGCTCAACACCTGGAACCTACTTGTTAATCTGATAAAAGATTTTGAGTATCCCTTGCTTAGACTTCCCCTTCATTTTCAGCACACTAGGTTTTTTTGGGTATATTTGCAGATTGATTTAACTTCATTTTATTACTTTTCAGTTGCATTGAGCCCAACTATCAGCCAAATGGGAGCCGTTCAGAAGTTTAGCCAGTACATTCTAGGTGAGTTGGGAACAGTTGGGCTCACTGCACTAGGGATCGGACTTACGGCTACCGCAGCAAGTGTAGCCCTTGCCATTTATTACTACATAATTTGCTATTGCAAAATGCTCGATGAACAGGTTGGAAAGTTGGAGACTGATTTGAGAAAAGCAATTACAGAGTATGAAGTCCAAGAGATGAGATTTAAAAAGCGAGTGAAAGAACGAATGAACCGCTAGAGTACTCATACTTTCACCAGCTAAAATCAGTGTAGCTAATTTTACTTTCTTAAGTTGCCGTATTTTCTTCATAAAACACCTGGTCAGCAAATTAATTGATACGATTCCAGAAATATCGATGTTTTTTAAGAACCAACATTTATTTACGTGATTCCCACCATGTATGAGCACAATTCGTTTGATCTTTCTTCGCTGTTTTATAAATGATCTTATTTTCCCTTTTTTTTAGTATGGATAAAAATATGAAAAAGTGTCGTTTGCGATATAAAGAAAAAGAGCCCACAAGGATACTTTATCATCACACTGAAAGTTCCCGGTGTTTTATCGAGAGAGAACGTTATAGAGCTCCTTCACCTTAGCGTCACAAAAAAGTTTCAGAATAAAAGAGGATTAAGATGTAGATACCATCCCCTCATAGTCCGCACGAAAAATTCTCCGGTGGTTAGCTCTTAAATCAAAGACGCTAAAGTTACTTTGGGGACTGTATCGTTTGGACTTAATGATAAATGTATTTGTAAGAGTAAAGTTACAATTAAGATAAACTTTTCTGAAATTCATAATCCTTTCTCCATGTTACGGACTAAATTTTATCTCAATCTTACTAAACTGCATATTGCGACTGAAAGACGATAATACGAACAACTAAACAAGCGAAGAATTATTTCAAAACTGGATTTGGAAATAGGTCAATTCTATCTAATAATTGTGTAATTCTTTTTCATAGTCCTGCCATTTGGCCTTGCAGTAGTTACCGGAGCTGCTTCGTTCTTGGTCTGGATAAAATCGGTTTCTGGAAGAAAATGTTTCCCGAAACTACATTTTATTCTAAAAGAAAAGAGCTACTGGAATTTATCAACAGTCTTTCGCAATTACTCGCAAGTAATGCAAGAAAGGGATCGCGTAATTCTCAGAATAGAAAAATTAGTGAAAGATTCGTTCTAATTTCAAGCTTTTATTTTGCTAAAAAACGAAAAAAATCCTTTCGTTTTGTTTAGTTTCGATTTGACAAGTGTCGTCCTTTATAGCAGCCGTGACCGAAAAATATGCAATAAAGGAACTCTCTAAGCCCAATACAAACGCATCAGGGTTTCATAACATCTTTCTGTTCAGCAGGTCAAAAATCTACGTGTAAGCGTCATTGCTGAACGTGTCATAAACTGGGGTTACCTTAGCACATGGTAAGGTGTTTGACAAATAATGGCGATTGGACCGAGGCAGTCCAACTATATAGTGAAACTCGTAATTGACAAGTTAACCCGTTTTTGTTTTTTTTTGGACGTGTCGATGATGAAAGGTTTCGTCTATTCTTGGCTTTTTTAAACGAAATATTTGATTGACAGATGAAGGGATTAATCAATCATTAGTTTAACAGAATATTATATTAGTATTAAGCCGAGAGACGATTTAAACTCTGGGTTTCTGAATGTATTATGATTTGTTTAAGAGAAAAGTGTAAAACATTCTTCTCGATTAGTTTGTATCGATACAAGTAAGCGCTTATAACAAACTGTGTACTCTTATCATATTAGATATAGGCTCCTATCTTAATGATAAGAAGTGCTTAATAAAATCCAATTCAAGCTGAAGTTATATGTAAAACAGTATTTCTGATGCCCTATCTTAACTTTAGTTAATATCCGTGAAACGTTCTTAAGAGCATTACAACAGAGCAGCTTAGAAGCCTTTGTATAAGTGGGTGGACGCATTAACTGACAACTAGTTTAGACTAATAGAAAGCATGACAAAAAGAACGCGAATAGAATTATTTTTCACTTGAACAACTCTGTGAGAAGTATATCAACGATGCTTTTTTTCGCTCGGAATTTGTACAGCTGTTGCTGACTTCCACAGAGAAAAACTTGTCTCTTTGTGGAATATTAGTTTTGGACTGGAGTGAGAGGAAATAAATCCAACACGTTTAAAGTTCCACAAGATTTTTTAAATTTCCTAAGTACCCGAAATGAAAAGAGCTGTAAATCTTTATGAAGTTTTTCAACAGAAAGAAGTCTTTCTCTGTATCGCCAGGTTTTCTTTATAACAGAAATCCCTTGATGGCGTGTGGAAAAACAGGTCAACTTTAATCGCACTGAAAACTTACCGGGTAAAGCGCGAAAGCATTAAGCGTCGGAGTTGATCGATCATATTCTATTTAATCTTCGAACTCACTAAGGCAACCGGAAGAAGTCCTTGTTATCATTTTCATTTTTGGAACAGTGTAGTATTGATGTGCAGGGATTGATCTCTTTGTACGAAAGCGCTTGCAAGAAAGCTATAAGCTCTGTGATCGGTGACGTTTCGTTTTTCCCGGAAACTCCTTATGCGCTATATGCGATAAAACAGTATAAAACTTGGTCTGAAAACTCTTGAATCTCCCGCAAATTACTCGATAACTTTGCTTTTCTATAACAGCGTGGGGTTATGAGATGAGTGTTTTTATGCATACGCGCTAACAAGCACACCATGCTGATTGGGACATCCACAGCAGACATACGAGCTCAAAATACTTTCAACAAATTTGAATTCGACAGTCTTTTTTCACCAGCCTTGGCTCAGCCCGCAAGGGCGTGAAGTAATGTTCGAAGTGCGACTTACAGTCTCATTTTTTGCCTGAACTGTCGTCCAAAGTCGACCAAAAGCCTGATTCAACACTTAGTAGCGTGCATGCTCTTGACTTAAGCTTGAGAAGTTGTACAAAGTGAAACTTTGAGAAAGCTGTTACTGAAAATAAAAACTTTGTCATGCAATAACTTGAACTCTGAGAGGAGAGAAACGGTCAAACAACGTCACTGAGATATGTTAAATTTAACAAAACTGTGTTTTTGCGAAACATACTTCTCGGACCTTTGCCATCTCAATTATCTCTACGTTTAGGTGATATCACAGCATTGAAGGGGTAGAGTAGAGCAAATATTCATAAAAATGCGTTAATTTATCCATTTGAAGACTATTGCACACTAGTCTCTTGGTGAAATGGTTCGTACGCAAAGTTGAAGTAGGTTTTTAATCTCATTGATGAGGGATAAATTTTTCGTCAGTGGAAAGAAACAGGCGAATTTTTGTCACGTTTTCAGCTGGTTACGAGAAACGTTTGCACTATAAACTGAGCAGAATTTTTCAACAAGGATTTTCTCGGGAAATACTTTTTTTCACTTTTATAGCACATTAAAAATTCATTACCTTGCGAGAATTATACATGATAACCTTGACTCTGCGACGCGAAGAAGTAATCTAAGGAAAAATAAACCAAACAATATTTTCTCTTGTTTAAGTATAAGCCAAGAGGGAGGGGTTATAAGCCGCCGTCGAACGATCACTGCCAGTATGACACCTTAGTAGCTAACAAAGAAAAGGCCATTACAGGTTCCTAGAGGTTTGTTATTGACTTATTTTCGTGAGATAGCTAGTTTTGTGTCTGTATTGTCTTTGAGTTTAACAGTGTACTGTCTTGCGAAGGTTTTTGTGTAATTTCACTAAATTCAATTCGGAACGAGTATATTTGACCGTCATATTTACTTCGACGCGTGTCAAAACAAAAAAAAAACGTATACTTTTTTTCGGTAAGCTGGGAACAAATCGGCCTCTTAAAAGGAGGTTTTATTGCTTTTACACTTATTGCTATTTGGGGTGAATCTAATGTGTCATTTTGCTAGTCAATCCTTTAAGTTTGGAGTTGTCGTAACGTTGTATTTAATAGTGGTGAGCCACAATGATACGTATTTATCTTGCCTACTGGTGTTATAAAGACGTCGGTTAGAGCCAAAGAAATTCAGAGGGGTGTTTTTATCGTTAATCGCTGAAACCACACTGAGTATCTATAGAAACACTTGGTGCTTAATTTGTGTAAGAAGGAACCGGTTGAGATGACAACTGCCTCGAGTAGAGGTAAGGATTTTAAATAATTTACAAGTATTTTTTGAGACGCTGAAAACTTGAATCGTATTTGTTTCCTCTTCCTTACTATTTTAATCTCTATAGATTGTTTGATTAATTACAGGAATTACCTTGAAACTGGCATTTTCGTTTTCTAATAAAATGAATTGCAAAGAAAAGATGTGAACTCTGCAACAGCATTACGTGTCGTTCTCCTCATAAGGATATCTACTGCCCGTTCAAAACTATAGTAAGAGTACACTGTGACTTCGACAGACGATCCAGAAAACGGGAAACAGTCATTTTACCTCTTCTAGCTTGTTCAAGGCGGATTGAGAGCAATTCCGCTAGTGTCAGTTTTTCCGGGCCAAAAGACGAAGTTGACCTAGTTCTTAGCCGAGCAGCCATATTCTCTCCTCCTGCTGACATACATTCTACGACATTTTGTCCCTCGCTTAGTGCAAAGCTTGGTTTGGGGTGAACGAAAGGCTCTAGTTCGAGGCGTAGAGTTCTTTCTGATATATCAAACCATGCTCAATAAGATATCGCCATATGATGCATTGATTGGCTTTGGACTTCTATAAGAAGTAGTCATTCACTTCTTAAATTTATTATCTTGGAAGGAAGGATTTAAGGAGATAGGCACAACATGGGTTTGTTTACTTTCTTTTTTCAGGTTAAATCTAGATGTCAATCTTTTCCCGATGGGCGTGAACATTCTGGTCTGACCAGACATCAGGCTTATGTTAAATTTTTCATTACGCATCACCCACGCTTGTATTTTTGAGCAAGAAATATATCTTATTAACCAAGCGCGAGGGCCGTACTGGGAGAATATCGGCCCGAGGTCTTGACAGTACGGACCGAGCGCAGCGAGGTCCGTACAAAAAAGACCGAGGGCCGATATTCTTCCAGTACTGTCCCGAGCAAGCTTGGTTAATAAGAGATTTTTTATACGACTGAAGTTCAAAGGGACACAAGTGCGGTATCATTCGGGACCATTCGGGACAGTGCCCGGTCCAATACTTAGAGAATATTGGACCGGCAATAGAGCATTTTGATTGGTTGATTTTAGTTATTGGCCCTCTGACTGCCCGAGTCGTGTAATAATATTAATTAACTAACTAGTTGAGTTGATTTTTCAAATCCGCTGTTTCCAAAATGCAAGTATTTGTTGCAGGTATACCGACTCACACTCGAGTCTGCTGTGTCAGCTGGTGCAATGATTACTCGAAGCGTTTCTTRAGTTCCGAGATACGCAGAAATGGTTTTATTTCCAGATGTGATCTTTTTTTGGACCGCTGCCGGGAAAAGATGGGTGTGAAAAATGTGAACGTGCTACCTGGGTCGTAGTCGTACCACCGGCGCGAGTAACTTAATAAGGCACAGTAGCCTCTGGAGAAGAAGTGGTAGAAATATAAAGCTGTTGAACGTTGGCTTTTACAAACTTTTCAGCGAAAGTTGTTGTTTTCCAGGTTTGACCCCTCTAAAACTTCCTTTAAATGAACAAATATTCTAACACTACACTTTTCTCTGTCGCACATCTGCAGTGATGTATGACGGGCTATGCCCTTTGCAGATCTTTCGCTCTTTTTTTTGTCCTAAAATGAGCTTTATCCCCCGAAGTACCATGAAACATTCAATTATGAAACATTAAATTATGATCGGAGCTAGATAATTGTTTGCTCCTGTTTCGTATATGTAACACACGACCTTAGTTCCTGTAGCCACGTGCTTCATAGTCCCATGTTTTATTTTTGCGAATTATTTCAGTAGACCTCATTTTGAATTAATTAGCGTTATTCTGTACGCGAGAAACATGTTTCTGAACTAGCAACATTCCGCTTACATTTGGTTCACGGATCGGTTGTAGACGTATAATTAAAAAAGATCTCTTACGCGAAGTATTTCAACGAAATGGGAATAGAGAAATCCCGAGATGCGTGTTGTGTAAACAATCATTATCAGGATGTGTTGATTATCCTGCCAAGTTCTATTGCTATTGAGGGAGCAATGCAACAATTTTAGGACTGCAATTCCCTTTTGTGATACAGCAATATGGACGGTTAGATGATTTTATGTTAAATAAGCTGTAAATTGGATGTAAAATTTGAAACAATCGAGTTTGTGTTTGAATGTGAACATTTTCGAATAACTGACGGCACCGTCAAATCAGCTCATTTTATCCAACTTTAAACTTTGATTAAATCGCACTGAATCATTTCCCCAAAAAATATTTAGGAGATCGAAAAGAACCACACTTCGCCTTCCAAAAGCCACATTTTCAGTCGATTATTTTGTATGGCACAGCAGTTAAATGTCGGGTTACTTTTGACCTATTTTTGTGTGGCTTACACAAAGTGTGTAGCCACACTATGGCTTGATCGGATTTATTTATTTATTTATTTATTTGTCGACGAGAGTCAAA